GCAATAACATTATCATAATCATGGAATCATATAAACTATAAAACATAACACTTATCACGCCTTTTGTAATTCAATCATTAGACAACATATCTTTTCCTCATTTACCAGCCTACTAGTATCCGTGGGGGTCTATAGGGTCCCGCTACCCGTTAACCTTTAACATTTGTCATCAGATTCCAAGGCCGTCCCCATACCCCGTCCGGTATGGGCGCCAAAACCATAAACCTCAATACCCCGTCCGGTATGAGGGTGAAACGGGTCGTCCCCATACCCCGTCCGGTATGGGCGCCAAAACACATAAGATCTCCATACCCCGTCCGGTATGGGAGACCACAATCCCGGTAGGGTTCCCTACGGACCCGGTCCGTCCACCATCTCCCAGGATATCTAGTCAGGCTGAACACATTATACAATTTCCATTCACATAATCTTTCATTCTCCTTTTCCCTCAGTCAGCATTATCAATCACATACAAACAAGCAAAACGATAATTTATGCCAAACAGACAACATATAGCATCAATATCCCGGTCATTCAATCCACGCGGATCGCCAACGTGGTCCTTTTTGGGACGACGTGGTTTTGCCACGTGGCAGGTCCCGGTTGGCCGGGACTGCTGACCGGGCCTGCTGACGTGGCTGCCGACGTGGCTTTTTTTTTTTTTTTTTTTTTCCTTCCTCCTTTCCGGGCGCTACATATTACATCTTCATAAAAAAAAAAAAAGAATAAGAACATCAAACCTCATGTCAATAAATAATTGTTCAAAGTTTGTACATCTTAGTTTCCACTGCTGTTATACAAATTTCTTTTTTCCTCATTTTCAAATTACCACATGACCGCAAATATGTTCTTAATAATTACCTCGACGAATACATGCATACGTACGCGTGTGTGTGTGTGTGTGTGTCTATCTATATATACATATATATATTAATGATTTTTGTTCTTCCTATTTGCTTCAAAGGAATAACGTAAATACATGCATGCATATATATTCTTCCTATTTTCAGTATGCATTATTATATGATTAAGAGCTGGCAAATTAGTATGCATATTTTACATTACACCCCGATTCTTCCTCATTAAACTGATAGAAATATCAACGCGTGATCCATCATCAGTCATCTCTGCCTTCCCAAATATTATATTCTCTGCATCTATTCCACTCTAAAAGTAAAAAGGAAACTAACTATTAATCATAAATGAATAAGAACATGCATTATTATAGGAGTGAAGTGACAGTGATAATGGAGAATAATTACCAAGGGAATAACCATAAATTCTTGAACTGATTATGTCAGGAAAGCAAATATATTATATTATATATCTATATTTTCATATATAGTTACTAAAGGAAATTAAAGGACATGATACTAATTGCTTAAATATTTGAGGTCAAGATCATAGAGTTCCAGTACGTAGTATATTGGCGACAAGAGATGTTTGAGAAAATTCTTCAACATGTGATTGTTAATTTTGAGAACTTGTCTGTGTCTTTCACACAAGATTATATTTAAAATGAAAACCAACTAGCTAGTCCATCTTGTAATTTATGATATGATATTCCTCGCATGAAGGCTTTTGTACAACAAAAATTCCTTTTTTGGTTTAAATTAATTATTTCATATCGACTTCAATCTTCATTTTTTGAGACCTTCAATTTTAAATAATGTTTGTCATTGATGTAATTATCAAGTTATTAAAGAAGAATTAAGAAATTAAGTATGTTATTTGATACATATAAATTTACAACAACCCGTAAATGACATAACAGACAAGTGGTGAACATTTATCAATAAGATAATTAAGAAAGAGCATGTTGGTACTACATGATTAATTAAAGCCTTTGGTAATTTCAATTCCTTGGGTAACTAAATGTTTAACAAACATTTAGAATGCTAGGTCATTTCTTTCCTAAAAAATTACAACGTTATGTCATTTCTCTCTCACTAATTACAATTAGGTAATTCTCTTATAAGTTTATAAGACTAACTCATTTCTTACTTAATGATTACAAGATTATACTATTAATGTTACTAGTAACTCTTGAGCAAGAGTAAGTGAAAAGTTTACAAAAAAAGCAAAACTAGACGACAGGCGTTGATTGAGGAGTGAGGAGTTGTCGAGTTGAGGGAAGGAGTTGAGTGAAAGCCACAACTTACAGGAGATACACACACGAGTGCAATCAAATGCACTCACATCTCAGTGAGTGAAGTTGAGGTTGTGAAAAGAAGCTAAGTGAGAGCAATGACTTATATAAGATGTACACACATATCAATGAGACGCACATGTAGATATAGGAACTTAAGGTTAGTGAGGCACTGATTGTGAGGAACTTTAATAAGTAGTTAGGGTTTTTTGGATTTTATTTTTATTTTTTTAATTCATACTAATTTAAACTTATTTTTTCAATCTAAGAATCCAAAACTAAGTCTAAGAAGCATTCAGTCTCATCCAGTCCATATTAAATGAATCAGTCCGATCTTGTTTTTTAATGTGAATCGAGGTTTACACGTTTTTATCCGTAAGAAAATTTTTAATGGTGTAAACTTAAAACATAACGGCATATCATACAAAAAAGTGGTCATAAATTGATTATATATTTTAACAATCACTACCATGTTTATAGATAGTTAGTCAAGGCAAAGAAAGCTCTTTCATAATCACTGCAACTCATTCTTACTCTTCTCTTTTTTGCTCCTTTTAATACAAAACTTATTTGGGAATTATAATAACTCCCCAAGGTAAAGTCTTATGCCCACCCATCTGTTTCTTTGTGCAGATTATAATTTGCGAGGAAAAAAAACTTTTCTATCACCTAATTAGCTTCTGAAAAAACAGACATTAAATAGCATGTATGTATATCCAAATATAATCTCTTTTTGAAGGAGCAATTTTAGTTCATCAACGTCCATGAACATCAGTTTTAAAATTTTATTCTTATTTAATACAACTACAAATTTTACGTTTGTTTTTTTAATTAACATGTGCTTATATTACTAGAGTTGGTTGACATTTTCAGACCTTACTCACATATAGCTTGGACAATTAACAGCAAATTTTGGTAGTAACCATGAATCAAATGGAATATTTATATATATTTATATTAAATTCACATATACTTTACATGTATATTATATGTTCGGTTAACGTACATTTTTAAAATTGTAAAATCAAAACTAAATTTAAATTTTTTAAAAAGAAAAAATCAATTTAATTTTATGGTTTAAATTGATTATATATCAATATTTTTGCATGTATACTTTACTAGCTAGATTACATGTTACAACTTTTTTCAAGGGATGATATTCCATATGCGGGCAAAACTGTTGCTTTTACTGTCATCCTCAACATTGAAAATAAAAGATGTATGCATATAAACGTGTGGAATTTGAAAATTACATGTGGCAGTACAATATTAGATTCTAGTTATGCAACATTATTGAGGGTTAAAGCATCTTTTATCCTGAGTTATTAGCTGCAAGCATGTCTTGTATATATGTCTATATTATTCTTCCTCTTCGTATATCATCATCATATCCTGACTGCACATACTTTCTATGGCTACTTGCTCCCACAACTACAACTGCAATTATGCTCTTTATATTTTCATGATCACCACATGTCCAATCCCCATTCATTCTCTCATATATATATACATACATACATTATATATATATATATATGTATTCTTAGCTCATCTTCTCCTCCCTACTACCCATCCATCCATCTCCTTCTACTAGCTACTGTCTAGTGAATAACTATTATATATCGGCAGATCAGAGGTGAAGGTCTAGAAATTAACTATAAGAAGATCAGCATATACTGGAAATGAATGGGAAAAAGGGAAGTCAGGTTGAGATAAGGGTGATGAATAATGAATCTGGTGGCAAAGGTGGGGAGAAGAAGATGAGGCAAAATGGTGAAAGTTCAATCCAATTATGGATATGGAGAGTCTGGGAATTTGCGAAAGAGGATAGTAATAGGTTAAAATTCTCGTTCAAAGTGGGGCTGGCTGTTTTATTAGTCTCTTTGCTTATACTATTCCGAGCACCTTATCAAGTCTTTGGTACCAATATCATTTGGTCTATCCTGACCGTTGCCATCATGTTTGAATATACAGTTGGTACGCATACATATATACATGCATCCATCCTTCCTATATCATCATCAGCAGCAGCATTAAATGGAAATGCAAGATTATTATATATGCATCATGTGTCCATGCTCATTATGCATGCAAGATTGTTAAATGGAAATGCAAATACTTAGTGTATAATTGGTATATATATTATCTTATATGAGTTGGGATTGTTAATGATGAACTAAAGATTTGTTAATAAATTAGGTTCGACCTTTAACCGAGGGTTCAATCGAGCAGTTGGGAGCTTGCTTGCAGGAATCTTGGCAATTGCAATTGCTCAGTTTGCTCTTCGAACTGGTCCTGTTGCTGAGCCTATTATTATTGGCATTAGCATCTTCCTAGTTGGTATTACTAATCCTCAACTTGTACCTTCTTTATAGACCTTCAAATTATTCCTTTTTATATATGTATATAAAATATATTAGTAAACATTATTTGCTAAAGAATTTTTAATTTGAATAACTCTATTTTTTTTTTTGCCTAAACATGGTTCTTTTCCATAATATATGTACATAAAAAATTAACGAAAATATACTTTAGATATGCATGTAAATAATATTTAATTACATTATTATATATCTAATTGAAGAACTATAACAACTTTAATTATAAAAATCAAATAAATCCTAACTTTTGCAACATATAATAAAGTTTTAAATTAAATATCTTTTATGATTTTTATAATTTACATACTACAGTGTGAATGTGTTGAATATTCCACGTATATAACAGAGTTGACATGTATATTTTCAAGGATTAAATTTATAAAATAAGTTATAGCAATTGAAATCAGATTGGTTGTAGACTTTGTTGAAACATTATTTCATTTCTCCTGCCTAACAATTTATTAATGGGGAAATACCAAATTTAATTTTTGAAATACAATTAACATTACAATTTAATTTTAAATATTTTTTCTTTATAGATTAGTCTTCAAAATTTTAAAACTTTTTCTAAAAGTCTAAAACTATTAAAACTTAGATGAAAAAATAAAATATGATTTAGGATTTATTTAGAGAAAATTATTTTTTAATTATTTTAATGGTTATAATTTTTAATAAACATCAAATTATTTTCAATTAACATTAAGATTTAAGATGTTTACTTTTATGAATTTGGTATCAGGTGCGATAACATCATTCATGAAATTATGGCCATCGCTTGTGCCGTATGAGTATGGATTCAGGGTAATACTCTTCACCTACTGTTTGATCATAGTATCTGGATATCGAATGGGCAATCCAATCAGAACCGCCATGGACAGGCTTTACTCAATTGCCATTGGAGGCATTGTAGCTGTCCTTGTTAATGTCTTTGTTTTCCCTATTTGGTCTGGCGAGCAATTACACAAGCAACTTGTCGATAGCTTTACCTCTCTGGCTGATTCTCTTCAAGGTACATTAATTTCACATAATTTCTTTTAAAACTATCGGCAATAGAGTATGATTATGGTTAATGTTGTTGAATTTCAGAGTGTGTGAACAAGTACTTAGAAGAGAAAGAGTTAAGTGATACAGAGTTCTCCAAGACTATTATGGATGAATTCTTGGATGAGCCTGCTTACAAGAAATGTCGAACGACTTTGAACTCTGCAACCAAGTTCGAGTCTTTGGTATATTGATTTTGCAAATCATATTGATTATATTTTTAGCCCTTGATTTGCTTCAATTTTGGATGTTAAACTGCTACTTCTGCTTGTTAATTAGGCTCAATCTGCAAAATGGGAAACACCACATGGTCGCTTTTGCCATTTCTTTTATCCGTGGTCAGAGTATGTCAAGGTTGGAGCAGTTCTACGATATTGTGCCTATGAAGTCATGGCACTTCATGGTGTGCTACACTCAGAGATTCAGGTTTTTTATTTGCTTCTCTTGTTTATCTCATGTTCTAGTTAGCAATATCAGAATTTTTAACCAAATACAGAAGTTTATTCTAATAGAAATGGGTTATTAAAAAATAATCAACATTAAATGGGAATTTGGACATATTGAAACTTGTATTATGAATCTTAAAAACATTGTTAAAATAAATTATTTATTAAAAATATTTTTCATAAAAAAGTTATTTAATATTTAATAGAAATAAATATAGAAAGTATTTTCATTTAAAAAAAAAAAAAACAGAAATTTTGTATATGATAAAATTGACTTATAAAATTTAATATTTAAATTTTAAATTAAAAACAAAGTCATCCTCTAAAACTTACACATTGGACCTTTTGGTTTTAAATACATTAAAAGCATATTTTTACTTTAACTATTGTATAAAACATTTTTATTTACTTATTTAATTGTAAGAGTATTTTTAAAAAGCAAAATGGCAGCCAAAAGTTTGGTCAAATAGGACTTAAGCTACAAATTTATACTGTGTTTCCTAGTGGGTTTGAAAAACATATTGATTCACTAGGGAAAATTAAAATAGATCAAAAATGTTTTATATATTCATGTGTCTCAATATAACATCAATTATGCGGTAGAAAAACAACATCATTTCGTTTACCTAGTTCTTGTTCATGTAAACAACTTTCCAGATAAGAAACTTCAAAGTTTTAATCACACACAAATCCTTCTCTTGGTTGCTAGATTATAGTCTTTACCACACTTAAAGAAATCCTTTTGTTTAGAAAAAAAAAGAATAAATTCTTGATATGAGGGGATATGGGACAACAAATTGGGTTGTTTGTTGACCAATTTGTTGTCCCAATTTCTAATCAGAAGTTCGACAGGGAAGTAGATACTTATCTCAAATAGTAAAACTAATATATTTCTGTCTGAGAAATAATATCTTTACACATCTGTGATTTTTTAAATAAAAAATTATGAAATGGCATAAAACATCACCATATGAAAGTTAAGATGTGTTCTCTTTTATATATATATATATATATATATATATCAGGCACCCTACCTTCTCCGAATCACATTCCAGTCAGAGATCCTAGAAGTCACAAGCCAGGCTACAGAGCTTGTAAGGAGTTTAGGGAAAGACATTAATGACATGAAGCAAGGTCTCAATACTTCTCTGCTCAAAAGGGTTCACAGCTCAACTGAACGACTCCAACGTGCCATAGACATGCATTTTTATCTCCTCATCCCTCATTGTGAGCTTCCTGACGATTCCTCCAAGCTGCTTCCAAAACTTTGTAATGAACCATCACTCACTGACAATGACGTCTCAACTCAACTAGCAGAGCTAGAAAGCAATAGCCTGGACAAAAACTTGAATCCACCCAACCAAAATACACAATCAGGAACACTTCTTGTAGGCCAAATGGAGAGTTACCACGAGACACTGAGAAAGCAGTCGAGAAGGCTTTACTCTTGGCCATCTAGAGAAGTAGATGCTTTTGAAGAGGGAGGGATTAGCATGGATTTGTTGTCGAGGATGAAGACACTCGAGAGCACTGCAGCATTATCACTTGCCACCTTTACTTCGTTGCTTATTGAGTTTGTTGCCAGGCTTGATCACTTGGTTGAAGCAGTTGATGAGCTATCCAAGTTGGCCAAGTTCAAGCAAGAGACTTTATAGACCGACATATACACACATTTTGACACTAAATGAAGCAGGGAGAAGTCAGGTCCCAAAACATGTATAATCAACGAAAAATAAAAGTTCAAAATTCTTGAGTAAACTCGAAATTGTTCCAGATAATATATGGGTGATAATGAAATAGCTATAATTTTTTGAAGAGAATACAATCAGGGGATGAACATACAGGAGTCCTATTTTTTGGTAATAACATCATTTAGAATGTAATACAAGATAAAGAAGCTCAATTTTCACAAATTACACTAAATGAGATAAAAAAATTTATTACAAAATCATCTATAATTTACTCTGCTAACAGCCACAATCACAGCTTTCACTATACATCAGCAAATAAAAACATAATTGTTGACCATTTATATATTTATATGATATAGTTCGCTAAACCTTTTCTGTATAAAAGATTAAGATAATTAAATGAAAATGAACAAAATTTTCATTTTTGTTTTTCAAATTGTAGAGAAAGTAGAAAATTAAAAAAAAAAATTGGGAACTCTGGCATAAACTGCAAGTGAGCCAAATAATCCAGTTACGTATTTCATTTTTTCCCCAGTTCGGTATCTATTTCAAGAATTTGAAATTTAGTTATTTTAATGAAATTAAACTTTTTTGTAATATGTCTACACATTCCATATATATAGCTCCAAGAATTGGCATTTTCAGAAAAGAAAGAAAAAGGACAAAAAAAAAGAAAAGGACTCTGAGGATTGTCACCCCTCAACCCTCTTCATTTCTCAAATATCAGCACAAGGGTCCGTTTGGGAATGGGAGGGGAGGGAAGAGAAGAGGAATTTCTGCCTATTCAATAACTCTAGTAGGACAAAGAACAAAACCAAAGCAAACAGAACCCAGCATTCCTTCCATTTTAAGAAGCTCAAAACATAAAATTAATGAATATTGGAAACAAATGTTGATCCTACATTCCTACCAAAGCACACGCTGATAAATGACTTCTAACATAATTTCAAAAAATCATTTTATGGGCAGTCTTTCTCTTACTTCCTAACTCACTATTTCAATCACTGTCATAGCTGCAAACACCAGAAACAGGATCTCTCCTACATAAGCAAGTGCCTGTATAACCAAGCAAGACTTCAGTTTTCTTCAATTTCTTCAGTGATAAAATCCCCATTATGTTAATACTATAAAATATTATGCTCTATGGTTAAGGGATCTAAATCAAAGAAGAATTAACCATTTCAGCCGAAAACATATGAAGAAAATGTCAATAACACACATCCTTCTCTGACAACAATGTTCCCAGGAAAGAACCTCCTGAAACAGCAAAGCTGCAAAAGAATTTTTGAATTATTAAGCTTATTTCTGTTCATGAGACAGAGACAGAAAAAAAGAATATGAGGAACAATTTGAATCTGCATATATAAGCTTGTCTCAAAATTATGTGCACTACTAAGAAAGATCTTCTTCTATTTGACTGTCATCTGAAGTGGCATCAAGCAATGTTGACACTCCGAAATGCACCTAAAGATTTTATTTTTGATAAGCTTAGTCGGCTGTTCAACACATTTAAGAAAAGACCACCTGCATTTTCTTTCTAGGCATTGTAGACATGAATATTTCTTTTAACTGAGCATAGTGGATACTTGTAATAAAAATTAGAAAAATGATACTGTGCCATCTAGTCTAGGTGGGAGAATCTTGTGCTCCTGACAAAAACCTCAGGAACCCTACAGAATAGACGCAAATATTTTACCAGAAAGGGAAATAACCAGAAGGCAGACAGCGGCAATATCATCTCCTGGCAAATCAGTCTCACCAACCAGTGTTTTTTTCATCATAACATGTTAAAATGATACTGAACAGTTGATATCATCATATTTTAAGTACAGCCCAGATTAAAAAGATGGTACTGTAAATAAGTCTTTTACAGTTGGTCTTTGAGCCATACAAGGTTCTCCAAAAACATAAGAGATACACACAGAACGATTCATCTATGGCTTACTCAAAATATATACAAACTACTTTAATTTAAAACAATCAATTGACAAAAATTTATATAAAGAGTTAACCCACAGAAAATAAGTTGTGAGATGAAAAGCTAATTTTCCATATAGTTAAAGAAGGACAAGGTATAACCAGTTTAAAAACTTCTGCAGCATGGCCTATGAATTTCTTGAAATGCTCGAACACCATATAGCAGATAGTACACAATCTAACCAAAACCAATAAAATAGTACACAATCTAACTAAACCAATAAAACCATTATCTCACTGTAATCTCTGCTGCCTTCATGCCTCCGACATCCAAAACATCATTATAATGTCAAAAAAATACCTGAATGGCAGGATGTCATCAACAAAGTGAAAAGTTCATCCAAGGACAACAGATCTAATGGTCATTGCCCTGTCATTGACGTATAAAAAAACTTCTATGAATAAGATCCACAATTTTTTCAAGCAATTTGCATATCTATTTCAAAAGAACCTTAAGGGATAGTATTTTGGTAGAAATGCATGATCTCTTTCCCTTGGCAATAGTAATCACTTTATGAGGTCACCCGGTATTTGATCAACATAGGATCCATATCCACTTCATTTATTAAAGCTACTTATCTCCATCTCGTCCAAGCAGGGCTGTGATGGATCAATTACCTCAGTTTTGTTACAGGAAAAACACTAGTTTGCATATCACAATATGCTGATCTTGTCATTGGCAAGCTAGAGGAGATTGCTTTCTAGCATTTAATTGTCTCTGCTGTTTGATCATTCTGAAATCTTATTGATAAGTTAGTGCTAGAGAACTATAGAAGTATCTCCAGTAGAAAGGATGGGAATGCAGAGACACCTAAATATCACCATCATGAGCAGAATAACCTCCGCAAAGGCACCAAAAGTCCCTAGCAGAACAATCGCAATAGAATTCCCAGCTGTTAAAAGTCCCTGCAAAAGACAAAAGCACCAGAGTCAACTCTTATTTCCTTCTCTTATTTAACTTATATTCCAGTTAGCGGTATCAGAATTTTTAACCAACTAGGTAAACTCACTTTAGTTGTAAAAGAATCTTCAGTAGAATGGATGGAAATATGAGACATCTAAGTATCACCGTCATGAGCAGAATAACATACGCAAGGGCACCAAAAGTCCATATGAGAACAATTGTAGCAGAATTCCTAGCTAACAAAAGTGCCTGTAAAAGACAAAAGCATCAGGCTCAGTTTTTATTTGCTTTTCTCATTTAACTTGTATTCCAATTAGCAGTATCCGAATTTTTAACCAAATAGATAAACTCGTTTTCGTAGTTAAAGTATCTTCAGTAGAAAAGATGAAAATGCAAAGACATCTAAATATCACCATCATGAACAAAATAACATATGGAAGGGCGCCAAAAGTCCCTATGAGAATAATTGCAGCACAGTTCCTAGCTGCTAAAAGTGCCTGCAAAAGACAAAAGCACCAGAATCAGTTTTTATCTGCTTCTCTCTTTTAACTTATATCAGTTAGCAATATCAGAATTTTTAACAAAACAAACTTATTTTAGTAGAAATGAAATTTTAAAAAAAGGATCAAGAATAAGTTGAGGAATTATACCACGTGTTTCCTTCTTGGTTTAGGAGACATATGTTGACTCATTAGAGAGAATTTAAATAGCTAACAAAGTTCCTAAGTTTTGTTTCTCAATATAACATCAATTTTAAATATTAACGTGTAGGAAGAACCACAACATTCTGTAACCTGGTTCTGGTTCATCTAAACAACTTTCCAGGTTCTGGTTCATCTAAACAGCTGTCCAAATAAGAAATTTCAAAGCTTTAGTTATACACATACCTTTTTTCATGGTTGGCAGATCGTAGTTTCTGTATAATTATAGAAATCCTTGTCCAGAGAAAAGGACAGATTCTTGACATGAGGTGATAAGGTAAGTTGAGTTGGAGATCAAGTTATTCGGGACACTACAACCTATTATCATGCTTTTACTGTTTGTTGACCAGTTTGTTATCCCAACTGCCAATCAGAAGCACTAGATAGATGTTTACTTCAAAAAGTTAAAACGATTATATCTGTATGAGAACATAACCTCTTCATATTTCTGACATAAAATAATAACTCTCATCTGGCATAGAACATCATCACATGAATGTTTAAGATTTATTCTTTTTTTAATCAGGCACCCTACATTCCTCGAATCACACTCCAGTTGGAGATCCAAGAAGTCATAAGCCAACCCGCAGAGCTTATAAGGAGCCTGGGAAAAGACATTAATGACATGAAGCAGAGCCTGGAAACTTCCCCACTCAAAGGGTTCACAGCTCAACTGAACAACTCCAACGCTCAACAAACATGTGGCTACTATCTCCTCATACCCCATTATGAGCTTCCTGACAATATCTCCAAGCTGCTTCCAAACTTTGTCATGAGCAATCACTTGCTCAAAATGATGTCTCAAACCAACTGGCAGAGTTGGAAAGAAATAGCCTAGACAAGAACTTGAATCAACCGAGCCAAAATACACAGTCGGGAACACTTGCACCAGGCCAAATGGAGAGTTAATATGAGACAATTAGAAAGCAGTCAAGAAGGCTTTACTCTTGGCCATCTAGAAAAGTAGATGCTTTTGAAGAAGGGATTACCACATATTTGTTGTCCAGGATGAAGACACTCGAGAGCACTGCATCACTATCACTTGCCACCTTAGTTGCTTATTGAGTTTGTGGCGAGGCTAAATCACTTGGTTGAAGTGGTTGACAAACTATCCAAGTTGACAAAGTTCAAGCATAAGGCTCTACGGACCAACATGGCAGTGAGAAGTGAGGTCCCAAAACATGTATAATCAACAAAATAGAAGTTTGAAGTTCCTGAAAAAACTTGAAATATCTTACACACATATGGCTGATAACAAAATA